AGGGTTCCCCCCGAACGGAGTCAAAATGCTGAGAGAACTGATGCAGTTGGTCAGAGCCGAACCGATCGTCGACCAGCATGGCCTCGAATTGGTCCTGATGGACCTGCTGTATTGGTTGTGGCTCTGGAAGCGGTTGAGAAGAGGCAGCATCCTGAGCAGGAACAATGGAGGGAGTAGGTTGGGGGTTCTTCCTGGATTTTTTCCGTTTACCGGCCCCACCGGCTGCGATAACTCTGCTATCATCCATAGGTAGATCTGGGTTTGGTGCTGAAAAAAGACAAAAGATAATGTTAGTATCGAGCGGCCTTAGCGTGTAAGAAACTAGAAAAAAAGAACAAAAGAACGTTTCTCGCACGGGAAGGACCGCCCGGACCATGACACTTGGTTTCTCAAAACAAGTAAACCCAAGAGAACGGGCAGTACCTATCCCGGCTGTAATAAGTCATTCGGGAGTCAGATAACTCATGATGTCCATGCATTTATCCTTCTCCACAGCAAGCACGTCCTTGTAAATTTCTTCAGTGAGGACAGGATCAGGAGTCTTGCGGGGGAAGGCATTCCATTTGCGGGGAATTAGGCCGTCCGGGACAGACACGAAGAAGAACCGATCTTTCCACCCTTTGATTGAGGTTGGATTTCCCTTGAACAGGATGTGTCCCGTTCGGGCACTAGTGGCTAGATAGCCGTGGGTTTGTTGGGGGGCTACCTTGAAAAATTGGTGGAAGAGTTCTAGGGTTGGTCGGGCGCCGGCATCTTTACAACGGCAAATAAAACCCGCCATTGCCCAATAGGAGTTCGGCATAATTTGGGCGTAGAAATTGAAGAATGAAATGTAAAAGGGGTGTAGCGGAAACTTAAGGCCGGCCCTAATTGAGTCAAAATGAACTATAGTCATTCTGGGCCTATGACGCATTGGGTGAAGCCCAGCTTGCAAACGGAAATCCACTGGGTCAGGGATAAGGGCCGGAATTTCGGCCCTATTATGGGAGGTCAGTTTTTGCTGCCTCTCCCTAATCAATTTTAGGTCAAGGGTATGGCGAGGAAAATCGTTGGGACGTCCGGCCGCCATGGAGGCTATTTCGTCCTCGGATTTGGTGTCGTCGGAATCTTCGCTGGAGGAAGAAGAAGTGCTAGGAAGGTCCTCCGCCTCAGCCCTGGTATTCGCCGCCGTTTCAGTAGAACCACCGGCAAACGGGACTGTGATGACGTCCACAATGGCGGCATCACGGTCATCTCCATGGGAGGCCATCTCCGAATCAGAGGAATGATGTTTGGGGCTCATCTCGGTCGAGCCAGAAATGAAGATAAGGAATCCAGATTCGAGAAGTTACCTGAGCGATGGAAGCTGGGAGAGAATTGCAGGGGAATCAACAAGGCGCAGAGAATTGCAGAATCGAAACCCGGAATTGAGAAGTTAAAGGCTAATTTATAGCCTTGAAACCGCCGTGTCAAAAACCAATCAGAGAGCGACACGTCACTAGGAGCATTTAAGCTAAACACGTGTCTAATGAAAAGACTAAACGACGGTTATCATGATGAATATGGGGAAATGAAGCGGCAGCCGTCAAATCGCAGCATGGGGAACTGATTACTTCTGTACCCCGATCGCCATTCGGGGTATTATAACATTGATATTCATACTTCCTAATGCACTCACTATCGTTCGAGACATCGGAAGTGGGGGACTTGTGTTGGGATATTGACCTAGAGGCTCAATACCCAGATCTGGAAGGCCCAAGATATCCGGCCCAAGCAACGGGCCCATCACTCTATGATGAATAGATCCAGTGAGAAGACATACCGAACGGAGTTCAGCCCAAACAAAAGTTGGCCCAGTAAGAAGACATACCGAACGGAGTTCGGACTATATATCATACTTGGGCCAATTTGACAGCATCTTCAGTACAGCCCAACATCCCGTTCGAGCAACGGCCAACCAGCAAGTGGCCAGGTGCAATTAATGTCAGACTGTGACGACAGCAAATGGAAGCATGGATGACCAAGTCGGTGGAACAACGGCCAATCAGCATGGGGCAGCCCATGCTCTCCATTAGTATAAATAGAAGGTTTCAAGTCATTGTAAGGGTTAGCATTTCAATACTCAGGCTCTAGAATATCATCATTGCTCTTATTTCTTGTATTAAAGCATAGTTTCCGACCTACCGATCGGGAAATTCCTTGTAATCAGATTGGTTAATTAATACAAGTGAGCTTTCGAGTGTTAGTTAGTTCAGATCTTATATTTTTTACACGCTTTGATTCTGGGTCATTCCTGATATATCCAAAGTTCGTGTTGGGCTTTCGGATCTACGGGATTTACCCTCAACAATCACAATTTCTTAAAATTGTGTATATAAAAAAATTATTGTATTAGGTATTTATAAATGTGAGTTACATATTTTTATATGTGAAGTTACATATTTTTACGCGTAAAGTTACATATTTCTACACGCGAGTTACATATATATACACACGAGTTGCATTTGACCTGCCTGAACGCGAGTTACATATATTTACACGTCAAGTTACATATGTTTACACGTAAAGTTACATATTTATAGACGCAAGTTACATATTTATACACACGAGTTGCATTTGACCTGTCTGAACGCGAGTTACATATTTTTTTACGTAAAGTTACATATTTTTACACGTAGAGTTACATATTTGTACACACGGGTTGCATTTGGTCTGACTGAACGTGAGTTACATATTTTAACACGTAAAGTTACATATTTTTACACGCAAATGTTAATATGTTAAAATTACATAGGCAATATTGGTCTCATTTGAAAGATCATGAAAAATAAAAAAATTGATATAAATTTTATAAAAATCGGATCAAAAATAAAAAAATTATTAACATTTTTAAGAAATGGGGAAATAAAAAATAACAAAACCCACTGCAATTTGGGATGGTATACCATGCGCACCGTGGGACGGTTGCATGGTATACGAAGTGCTTTGATTCACCCACCCGTGGGATTCAGATTTAAGAAGTAGGATCCGGAAAATTGATTTACCCAACAGTTATGAACGGATTCGGTTTTAATTGATCCAAATGGTGGAATCTCCCACCCCAGGAGCCCCCACCCAGACCCGACAGGATGGTGGGGAGGTTAGTCAAGGTGACTCAGTCAGCAGATTGGTAGTAGGGTTATTTCAGGTGGCTCATACACCCGTGCGCACCAGAGCTCTAGCCTTATTTCAGGTTCTGTGACCTCCACCCCGTCGCTGCGAGGATTTGAACCTTGGTCCATTGATCCAAATCTCCCACCACTCAACCAACTGAGCTACCCGTGCGGGTAATTCGGTTTTAATCAAGCAATGGCTTGTTGCCTTGTTGGGTTACAATTTCTTACAATTCACTTCTTTATATGAAATGGCAGCAAATAAGCAAAAGATTATGGATGAGAGAATATATTAAATATACTCTGAATAGAGTTGATATTAATGATGTATTTACGATAAAGAGAAAATCTCAATTTATAAGGTAAACAAGTGATTGACTCGAGATGAAAGATTGATATTAGCCACATAATCATTACCTTTAGGTTCGTTGGGCAACAATATGATGATAATGATAATAATGACCTATTGTATACCAGGATGTAGATTATTATCATTATCTTGATACCGATAATAATGACTTATTAATCATGAATAGTTAGGACATTACTAATTCATTTTATTTCAGAATCAAAGATTCTTCATCATCTTCGCAAGGTCGGAAAAGGATCATCATTCACATTGAGATATTGAACCATCATTAGAGAATTGAGTGAGTGCGTTTTATCTGTGTAAAACTGTTTCTCGGTATAATTTGATTGATGAATAAATATATCACTTCTCAAATGTTCAATTTGAAAGCTAAAACAAGATTTTGTTCCCCTAAGGTTTTTCATTTCAAAATTTTTTGTGATAGTAGTAATAGTAGTAATATTAGTAATAGCTTGCGGTCTCCGATCGAAAAGCTAAAGGAGTCCAGAGTTCATTTACAGACACCCTCGCCCATACGTCGTCTCGTCATCTTTATTTGATGACGTGAAGCTCGTCTACAGGCCCCTCGGCCATATACCCCATTCATCTTTATTTGATGACATGAAGCTCATTTACAGGTCCCTCGGCCATATACCGCTCCATCATCTTTATTTGATGACGTGAAGCTCATATACAGGTCCATCGCCATATACCGCTTCATCGTCTTTACTTGATGACGTGAAACTCATTTACAGGCCCCTCAGCCATATATTTGATGACTAGGGGTAGGCCTTAAGGGATACCCTAAGGAATTTTTTGATGAAATTTTTTTAGCATCTTATTCAGTAAGTCTAGTTTACTCATACCAAATTTAAGCTAAAACTTCAATCGGGAAGCTATTCAAATGAATTCTTGAAGATAATTGCGCAGTTAAAAGCGCAATTATCTTCAAGAATTCATTTGAATGCCTTCTCGATTAAATTTTTATCTGAAATTTGGTATGAGTAAACTAGACTTAATGAATAAGATGGTCAAAAAAATTCATCAAAAAATTCCACCCAGAACCACTCCAAATGGCGAAGGCCAGACAGAGCCTCACAAATAATGCCTTATTTAACCTTTTTTGATTAGTACGTGGGCTTATTTGCCCTTTTCCCCTTTTTTAATACTATATTGATCCATCTTGATTGCCAATGTAAACAAAAAAATTCAAGAGATGAGATGTAACTGTTCAAAAGACAATTGTTGTTCATAGGCCCATAAACTAATATTGACATATGAAATGTGTTTGACCTAATTTAAAGACAACTGCTCCCTCCGTCTCATTGGACTTTGCCAACTTTTCTTTCTTGTTTGTCCCAAAATTTTTTGTCATTTTCCTTTTAAAGCAATGTTTTTATGGTTCTGTTCATTTCTCAACTTGGCAAAGTTGAGGGAGACGGAGGTAATATTATCTAGTTATCAGAATCCAATTTAAAGAGGTCCTAAGTTGTTGGGTACAAAATCAAAATTTCAAAACTCAATGGCCTCACCTATTCGGTCTGGCTCCAGTCTTCGCCTTTCCATTTTCATCACTCTATAGAATCGAATCACATGACAAAGCAGAGTGACTTTTCCGATTGAATCACAACAAAAGCGGAAAGTTTGGGAGAGAAATGGAACACCCATTCTTCAGCAACGCCAATTCCAACCGGGCGGAGGCTCTCAGGTGGCTTTCCATCGCCGAGAAGTTGCTGAACACCCGTGATCTGTTAGGGTCCAGATCATTTGCGACCCGGGCCCGAGACTCCGACCCGACCCTGCTGCAGGCTGACCAAATCATAGCCATAGCCGATACCCTCATCGCCGGCGAGAAGCGGATTAACAACCAGCACTACGACTGGTACGCCATCCTCCAAGTCCCTCCCAACCAGCGCCACGACACCGACTTCATCGCCAATCAGTACCACCGGCTCACTCTCCTACTCAACCCCAACAAGAACAACCTCTCCTTCGCCGATCAGGCTTTAAGGCTCGCCGTCGACGCTTGGTCGTTGCTGTCTAACCGTTTCAGGAAGAACTTGTATGATGAAGAGATCGGGTTCCTTCTGACCCTTAACCAGGAACCAGGTCCTCCTCCTGCTCCGAACGTGGTATCTACTGCTCAACAGCCCGGCGCGTTTAATGTTTTTCCCAACTCAAACAGAGATCAACAGCAAATGTTATTTGCTAGCCCTGAGCAACGGTCAATTGGCTCGGGGCAATCGTTTCTGAGTAGAGACTCTGTTCAGGCTGTGACCTCTATGCAGCAGCAGCAGCACTCAAGCTCGGGTAGAGGACAACAACAGCAACCAGCAATGTTTTTCAATCGAGACCAACAGCAACCGTTGACTTCTGTCCACGCCATGAACAGAGACCCCACTCATCAAACGGAAACCTATATGCCGAGCTCCGGTAGAGAACCTCATATGATTTCCTTTGGGTCAAGCCCGGGTCAAGCAGAACAACCACATGTAGCTTCCATGCAAAGCCCCCTTACCGACCATCTGAGGAACACACAGCCACCACAGCAAAACGAGGGTTCTGTAGGAAAAACTGAGAATCTCCGTGGTAGTTCTATTGATAATGCAAATAATGACAAGGAGAACGAAGTTAGAGTAGAGGAACCTAAGGTTGTCATTCCTAGCTTTTGGACTGCTTGCCCATATTGTTATAATATGTTTGAGTACCCTGATGCATATATAGACTGTACATTAAGGTGTCGCAATTGCAAGATGGCATATCAGGCCATAGCAATTGCGTCGCCCCCTCCCATTATTGATGGGAAAGATGCTTACTTTTGCTGTTGGGGGTTTATTCCCTTGGGCTTCTCTGTGGGAGATTGGGAGAGAAATAGAGATCGAGCTACAAGCTGGAGTCCTTTCTCACCTATGTTCAGTTGTCCTACAGGTGGGGGGAGAAATGGGGATAGTGGGGGTAAAACTGAAAATAATTCTGCCATGGGGCTGAAGGTTGGAAACACTCCAGGCGGTTTTCATAGTGCTGAGGCTCCTAAAGACGGTGCCGTCCAGAAGAATGTGAATGCAAGGATGGATGACATTGATGGTGGTGGTGGTGGTGGTAATGATGATGGGCTTGTAGAACTATCGGCATCTGGTGGGGAATCAGACAATGATTGGCAAGATGATACGAAGAGGAAGAAATCAAAAGGCATGAGAGGGAATGGGGTAAAGACAAAGAATCCGCCAGTCAGAAGTGTCCAGAAACAGCATTTTGATAAGGGAAAGAATGGCAAACGTAATTCAATAGATGGGTTGCAAGCTCAAGGTGGTGGCCGTGTCACAGTCGAGGCATTTAAGAAAGGTCTTGTTGGAAATACCAGGCGACACTTTGGTAGGATTGCCAGAGACTATGGGAAGTTGGACCTAAATGTGGAGTTTAGTAATGAGGGCGAAGAGCACCCACATTTGATGGGTGGACATGGTCATGGATCAGGAAGGGGAGTGGATGATAACATTGAAGGGATTGGATTTTTTGAGGGTCTTGATGAGTTCCTAAGCAGTCTTCCGATACTCAATGTTGTTGGCGAGGATAAGGTTAAGGTTGCTTAGTGAAACTATCGGCATTTCTATGATAGCTGTAACTCTAGCCTTTGCATTTACATTTTGTATGCTTTGTGGTATGGAACCAGGTAGGGTTACTTGGCCCACGTGACTTGATGTATTTTCTGCTGCATTTTTTCAGCAATCGTGTCCTTTTATTTTGTAATGCAATAACATTTTGTTTTATTTTGCCTATAATCTTAAAAGGAATGCTCTCCTCGGTTTCAACATAAACATTTTCGAGCCCATGAATTGGAGTCTGATTCCCTCCCCCCTGTTATATCTGGAGTATTATCATTTTGTGCAATTAGCAATATAATATGTGCTTTTTCCATCATTTGCAATGGAGCCAAAGATTCACTATTTTTTGGCTTGAGAATTCATTTTCATTTACCACAGCGTCGCAAAGGCTCCCACCTACGGTGGGGTAAGGGGGGTCGGATGTACGCAGTCTTACCCCTGTACTAAAGCACAAAGAGACTGTTTCCGGATGACCCATAGTGAAAATCCCGTCCAAAATTGCATGGACTTACTGCTGCTTCATAACGAAGAAGCGCAGACAGTTTAGTGAACCATTTTGCTTTATTCCATCATAATCTCAACTTCTCAAGCCAAAAAATAATGAATCTTTGGCTCCATAAAGCAAAATGGCTCACTAAACCGTCTGTGCTTCTTTATTGTGAAACAACAGTCGGTCCATGTATTTTTCGACGCGATTTTCACTATGGGTCATTCGGAAACAATCTCTATGCGCTTTAGTAAAGGGTAAGACTGCGTACATCTGACCCCCTTACTCCACCGTAGGTGGGAGCCTTTGCGGCATTGGGGTAATGATGATGTTGATGAGCAATATAATATGTGCTCTTCGAATGCTTAGAATTTGCTGAACGAATTATTGAAGCAGTTCTCTTAATTACGGATTTCTTGTCTTCCATTTTGGAAATGACAAAGTGAGCATTTTTTACTTTATAATCAGTGTATGCTATGAGAACTTTGTGTATGTTGATTGTTGAGTGGTTTTTTCTAGTCTTAGAAAGCTCTTATGCTTCCATTCTATTAAACTAATGTTTGAGTGAGATTCTCTCCATAACTCCATGTAGAAGTTTGAGTGAGATTTGCAAGCCTGCTTTGTATTTTTTGGTTTACCATTCATTTGACTTCTAAATTTTTCAACTATAGCTGATCCAGCTCGCCGATTCATGGTTTTGCCATACTTTAGCTGTTCTAATTGGCCCTTTTATCAAAGTTAGCTAGTAAACCTGCAAAGTGCAAACTAGTCAATTGGAATATTCATTTAATAAACTCTTTATACTTTTAGTTTTATTTTAACAGATTCAGTTTCTAAACCTTGCAACTGGCAAGAATATACTGAAGGTTTAAGGTTGCGGTTAAAAGTCGAGTTAGTTCATATTAATACTTTGGGTTGTGGGTGGCTGGAGAGTAATTGTTGTCTATTTGTCTTTACCTATCCCATTTCCTCATTATGGTTTGAGCTTTGTATTTGTCTGCAGATCAGACATGAAGCTGCAAGGAGTTCCTCATTTGTACAGTACTGAACATAGGTTTAAGGCTCTGTTGGTGGTAATAGGTCAGGATTACAGAATCACGATGTCATCTCCTTTGTATTTCAGTAACAGTTGTCTCATTATCCCAGATATACTTTGTTTGCTGTGAATGCATATCAATTTACACAAGACTTGAAGAGTCGGACTTATGTTGTTGTGAATCCTTGATTACATGCTTGTGTTCTCAAGATCCTCTTGCTGAGTTTGCACAAATGCTGAGATTCGCATGTTTAAGTCACACTAATTTATGAAATACGGAGTATTATTTCACATTCAAGTTCAGTTCAAAGGGTGCTGGAAAGGGGCTTATCATAACCCTGTGACACATTACTTTTTTTCTAATAGCAGCCTCCCTGTGAGACTGTGTTCTCTATCAAGACCCCCCCCCCCCCCCAAAAAAAAAAAGAGTTCTATTTGGTTATTTTAGACGATATATTTTAGCACATGCTCATACCTTTTTCGGTGAATTGCATTAAAAATTTGTTTGTTTAATGAAATTGGAGTTTTATTCGTGATAAGAAAAGGCTCTTGAAACAACATTTTTTAAAGACTGGAATATTTTTTTCTTTTCAAATATAAAAGGACAGAAGTAGCTGAATTTGGTGAAGAAATAAAGCTTAAAATTAGGTTCCATGTACCATGGTGACACACATATAATGCTACTTTAACTCATGGTGCTGCCGAAGTCTGAACATAGTGAAATAAAAACATTGATGGTTGAGCATAATAAAGGACAAGTACATAAGAGGAAATTGAGTTATGGTGTTTATCGTGTTTTGATGTAATTGGCTTCACCAATTACTTCATATGGTCTCGCTATTTTTATCTCTGGTTTTGCCTAATTCCTCTGATTGATGAATGAAAAGGACAGCTTATGCTTCTGGATGTGGTTTGCCTAATTCTTCTGGTTCTGCCTAATATTTATTCTTTCAAAAGCCAGGAGTTGACATTTATTCCAGACTCTCATGGTCTAATGTGAAAGTGAATATGTAGCAATAAAAAATTAATATTGGTATGGTTTGGTAAACCAACTGAGGAAATATGTGTGTTCCTTGAGAAAGAAGCCAAGGAGGGGGATAATATTCAAGAAATTGCAGGTGGGATTTCCAAGCTCAAAGGGACAGCTGGACTCTCTGACTATGTCTCAGATCAGTATTGCATACTGAGAAGGTGAACTAACCCCAACCCAATGCGGTTCTGCCTACCAGAAAAACCTAGGTTGCTTCTTCCAGTTCTCCACATGCCACTTCTATATAAGCATGCCCATATTCAAGGAAAGCCAATCCCACACCAACCCAAATCTGAAATAAAGAGATAAACAAAGGACACGAGCACATTCAAGCTTCAACATCATCATCATCTTCACCTGCCAAGAATGGCCAATCATCTCAACCCAGCAGCAGCATCCTCCTTGCTCTTGCTTTTCCTGACAATCACTATTACTCTATCACCATCAGTCATCAAAACTGAGGCCAGAAACCTTCTCCAGGCTGTCCCCCCTCAAAGCCCTGATCTACCTAAGAAGCCTGGTAATCTGCCAAAACCAGATGCTGTAGTACCACAGGTTCCAAAGCCTTTTGAGATTCCAGCTTTGCCAAAGCCTAAACTTTCAGATAGTCCAAAGCCTTCTATCATGCCAGAGCTCCCAAAACCTACTGAGATACCAACTTTGCCACTACCAAAAGTTCCAGAGATTCCAAAGCCTATAATTCCAGAGATTCCAAACCCTATAGCTCCAGAGGTTCCAAACCCAAAAGTTCCATTGATTCCAAAACCTCCCCAGTTGCCAAAGATTCCAAAGCCTGAAGTTCCAGAGCTCCCAAAACCTACTGTGTTACCAACTTTTCCAATGTCAAAAGTTCCAGAGATTCCGAAGCCACCTCAGATGCCAGAGATTCCAAAGCCTAAAGTTCCAGAGATTCCAAACCCTATTCAGGTACCAACTTTGCCAAAGCCGATACTTCCAGAAATTCCGAAGACTTTGAATGTGCCAGAACCCGCTGAGGCACCAATTTTCCCAAAGTCAAATGCCCCAGAGACTCCAAAACCATTTGAGATACCAGTGCTTCCAGAACCTAAGATACCAACTTTGTCCAAGCCTCAAGTGCCAGAGCTTCCAAAAGATGTGATATCAACTCTACCCAAGGTTGAACTGCCAGAGATTCCCAAGCCTCCTCAGTTGCCAGGAATTCCTAAGCCAGAGCTGCCAACCATTCCTTCAAAGCCAGCTGAGGCACCAATACTCCCCAAGTCCCCAGAAAATATTCCAAAACCAGAAATGCCAAAAACCCAGCCAGTCCCAAACAAGTCATGAATTGCCCAAACTTCATTCTTTAATGCCGCCACTTGCCATAAATACATCTCCAGAATTCTCAGAACATTTTAAATGTCAGCTCGTGCTACAGTGCTACGCCCCCGGGTGCAAGCATGCAGTAGTCGTTTTTAATTCGTCTGTGTGCGTGAGTGTGTCCTGTGTGTGTCTTCAGTTCAGTAGTGATTATTAGTGAATAGTAGTAATATACTCTGTAATAACCGCGTGTGTGCACATTTGTACTTCATGCAGTCTGTTTTGTCAATATAAAATTAATGTTATGTTACAATTATGTTTTGTTACAGTGTAGAGCAGATTTGAGTATTTGACTATGTGCTGGCATTTAACCAGTTCCATATTTTTCATTTTGTGATTTGGTTTGAATCGGGTTGGGGTAATGTTTTTACCAAATAAAAATCATATTACAGAATAGGAGTAAACTAATCCTTAAATGCACAAATATGATCATGTTGTGTTCATCTTTCTAAAATAGGACTAAGTATACTCTAAGCCTAAGGCTGATAGATCTTCCTTAGCTCAGGTCTCCAGCTACTCGACATTAAAATAACATACATTAAAATTTCATCAAAAAATCTATTTGTGCACATTTTTGTACACACCTAGTTAACGTATAAAAGTGTTTACACCAAGAATGACTCAAATTTGATAGTATTACAAATGAAACCATTATGAACCAACGAATAGAATGGTGATGAATTGACACATTAGAGAAATAACCAATTGACGGACAAAACAGATGAGAATGGTCACAAATGTTAGAAAGGACAGACAAATAAATGCTAAATAATTAATCGCAGATGATAACCGTCGAGAAAACAACTGAACTGGAAAAGCTTCTTCTATGTGACCCGTCTCCGGACTCTGTCTTCTTCCCTTCCATCCGTTTATTGAAATACACGCATTCTCTGCTTCCTCTTCCACACCAGTTGCTACTTTCTCCTCTCTTTATTCCTTTCCCTTCGATAGGGCCGTTTCAGATCAACTGTTTCCAATCTACTTCACGCTCTGCCTAACCATGTGAAATTCGCATGATCATTTGGAGTTGGGGGGAAGAGAGGGTAGGCATGGAGTTTGCCAGAATCAGGGAACTGTTTTCCCTTTGGAGCATTGTTAGATGCACCCGTGTTGCCCTCGTGGGTGGAAACCACACCGCTGCCAGGTTTTGCTCTCGCTAAATCTTCTTCTTTGACATTCCTCATTCGCCATTGTTGGATAGCTTCTCTCCTCTCCTCTCTCTCTCTCTCTATCTCTCTGCGTGGACAGTCCAAGTTACCGTAGGCTCTACAGATCCGAATTTCCAGATTGGCGAATAAAAAAAATCTTCTTTTGCCGATCTGTTGCTTCCTGGCTGAGTGTAGCTGAAGCATTTGATTTATTGTCTCTGAGAATGGATTTGGCTCGTAGATGCCGCTTCAGCAGTCGCCGCTTCATGAAGCCGAGAACTAATGGCTTTTATGGGGTTGGCATAGCGGTGAACCCAGATGCCCTGTTGATAATCAAACTCCCGGATTCCCGGGTTCTGCGAATAATGTCTCGCTCCCTGTTCGTAGCTGTGGTTCTAATCACTCTGACTTTGTTTGGGTCGGTGATGAGAGGTTCGCATAATGCTCCCAATGATTCTTATGATTTAAGTCCTGATTGGGGCGATTTCTCCATGCTGCCTAGTCTTTTCCGAGATTTGACAGACGAGGGGCTTCTCCGTAAGGGCCACAAGGGCCTCATTGTGAGTTCTGGCTATGGTGATTTGTTTGAAGATTTGGATTTGGAATTCTTGAACGAAAAAGAAATAGAATGGGTGATTGAGTCTGATTCAGACCCAGTAAAATCCGTTCCGAAAGAGTCCTTTGATTTCGCAATTGGATCAAGCTTCCGCAATGTCAAGTTTATTGACCGAATTCTCAAGACTGGGGGGATTATGATCATCCCATTGAGCAATGAGCCCTCTGATGAGCTATTGCACCCTACAGACTATAGGATCGTGTACCTCCGGCAATTTGAGAGCACGATAGTGGCAATGAAGAAAAATGGAGTCGCCAGAAATTCAAGAAAAACACATCTAGTTTGTGGGAGCACCCCGGAGGCTAAGAAAGCAGCATTGAAAGACTTGGAGGACGTGTTGCTGGAACCACCCAGAAAGGTATTGGCAAAATCAAGCATGGCAAAAATGAAGTTCCTTCCTGATTTGATGGGAGACTCCCTAGAGAATTACCCGCGAAGGGTTTTCATTTCTGATGATAGGAATGGTGTAGAAGAATGGTTTGTCAAGAATTACCCTCTAAAGGGTCAACGATTCGATTTTTACGGGATTGATGTTAGAACTGTTGATGGTTCTAAGGAAGAAGGATATGGGGTGTCTAGTTGGTTGAGAAACACTGTGAAGGAGGAGGATTATGTTGTGATGAAGGCAGAAGAGAAAGTGGTAGAGGAGTTGGTGAGGAAACATACAATTTGCCTGATAGATGAGTTGTTTTTAGAGTGCAAATTCCAGTGGGACGAAGGCGCTGAAGAAGAGGGGAAGTGGCCGAGGCAGAGGGCTTATTGGCAATGCTTGGAATTACATGGACGGTTGAGAGAGGAGGGAGTTGCAGTGCATCAATGGTGGAGTTGATTGAGTTTTTTTTTTACTTGTGAGGTTTGAAAGTGGCAATTGGTGGTTAAACCCAATTGCCCCTCTCAATATCATCTTCTTCATATCTTGTGTAAGGTCGGTATTAATGATTTCCTCATTTTGAGCAATTGTCATTGAACATGTACGTGATGTGTAGTCTTTGTGCTGTTGAAGGTTGTATTTTGTGATCATTCATGTTCGTTGTTTTCCATCCCATTCCTCTTTCTTATAACTTTTGACTAATGCGTATTACTAGATGAATGAGCTTGAGGAACCAATAAAAAGAAGTGTTGTAATTCCATCTACATAGTTGTGTTGTTTTTGGGTTATTTCGTGGCACTATGGCTGTGTTGCCCTTGAATTTCTGGTAATGAGTTTTTCAAACTAATCACTTCCCAGATTCTTGAATTAGGAACCTAATAAGTTGGTCAATTACATAGCGTGTAACTCTGTAGGAAGGATAGTATATACTGATGACTACTTCAGTTGGATCATGTTAGGATAAAAATATCAAATGTCATTAATGATAAGTACTAAACTTTCAAGCTTTAAAATTTTGACTTTGCTTATAATTAGTGTGTAATGATTTATTTATTTATTTATTTTTATCTTCAGAAATAACCTCTCCAAGTACAAATCTTGTCTGAGAACAACACAAATCCTTGTATGTGACATTGTATCTTCACAACTGATTGGCACAACTGATCGGTGTGAGACAACGTAAGATGAGGAGTGAACTAGTTCTGGACTAAACTGGAACCAGGAACCTGTCTGTGTCAAATCCACATACATTCATTTGGCAACCGAATTGTAGAATGATAGTGAGCCGTTTCTAGTTCTGACAACAATATGAAATATATGTTAATTAATGTGAAAGTGCAACTGCAGCGATTACATTGAACCCTCTAAAGAACATGCAGATTTTGATGAATGAATGAACTTATAATGCCTACTTTCTTAGATGCTTGTTATGAACAAAAGTGGGAAAAATAAAAAGCCAATCTTAAGAAGCAGTTATGTAAACAGAAACTGAGATGCATTTGTTCACAAATTCTTTAGGAAATGGAATTCCTCCACCTTCTAGGTGGCTTTCTAGGCTGCTCTGCATTACCAACTGGAGTGCCCACCTCTTGGTTATCTGAATTGGGCATTTTGGTCAACTTGCTCAGCTTCTTCCACCCTGCAGTCCACGCGGATCCCGGTTTTGGCTTCGCCACCTTATCAAACTGCCTTTGTAAATTCTCCATCTCACATTGGAGCTCCGAGTACTTTGACTTGACAGTCTCGAGTTCAAACTTGAGAGTGTTGATGTCCTTCTTTGCGGTTGCCCAGCCTTCCTGGAACGACTGAGGTGTTGCTTCTAGCAAGGTTTTGCGGTTTGAAACGAGGGGCTGGTAGTGAGAGTCTGCGGAAGAATCTTTGAGGGCATTATTGGCAATGGCGTTACTTATCTTGACCTGCTCGGAGAAGAGGACTTGCACCACCACTCTGAGTGGGAGCCTCTCGTTTTGAGCAGCGTGCATGCACGCGTCAATGGACAGTTTCTGGCAATCCATGACACGGCACAGTCTCTTCCTCTCGTGTTCTGATAGCGTCGGGTGTGCCTGCATATTTTGACAATAAAAAGCGTCTCTCAGATTGCTTCAGCTTTTGAAAAGGTAAAAGTAATGTTCTTCAGAACAGTTTTCAGCATTTTCCCAGTCAAAGAAATGTTTTCTCAAACATGTACTTCTACAGTTCTACTTCTAGTTAAGCCGTTTTAAGCTAAAGGTAAATTAAAAACTGCTTTTCAGTTGATTCTGCAAAAGAGTATTTTCCTCCCAAAACACAAAACCTTGCTAGAAGATTTTTAAAAAGTACTACTCCCTCCGTCCACCTAATATTGTTACGGAAGGGAGTGGTGTGGTTTTTAAGAAAAGTAGAATTACGTGGTTGGTAATGAGTTGATAAAGTGGAAATAAAGTAAGAATGAATTAGAGCCACACAAATGTTATCAAATATGGTATGAGACAATAATAAAGGGACATCCAAAAATGAAAAAATGGGACAATTATAGAGGGATGGAGGGAGTACTAGTAAGAGCCATTAATTTTCACATAGTAGGTAGTAGTACTTTTTAAAAATCATTTTCTTTTCAAATCTACCGGCTCTTTCTTTATAAAAAAATTCATTATTATTACTCTTTAAAATGTGGTGGACAAAAAAATATTTCTTTAATCATTTAATACATAATCAAAAATAGGAAGCAAGCTCAAATACTGAATAAATACAATACAAACATAATATTTCATTTGCCCAAAGACTAATATGCCTTTACTTTTTTCCCAAAATATATCCACGTTGATATTTTATTCCTAAATAAATAAATTTGTCCATAGTATAACTGTCTATTTAGATATGATAATTCATTCACAAATAATTTCGTAATTAGAAATTCAATAAAGTTGACTAGTAAAATGGCATTTGCCATAATTCATTTGACTTCTGAATTTCTATTCTCACTGGTTTTACATATTAGTTGTAACAACTTCACTTCTATAATAGTCGTATTTGTATTTATAATTCCAATTAAGTATATTAATTTTTAAAGTTCAGTGTTTATCACACAGGTTCTGGCTGAATCTATTGCCTCAGCAAGAACCTGAAACTTCGTCCGTTTACATGAACAAAAATGCTTGGCGTATACTTTTTTGTACTATCACTCGCATACTTTGTCTGTTTAAACAGAGGTAAAATTGTGCTTATACGGAGTACCATATATTCATCTAAACATACATAAGTTATTTGAATATAGACAACTTTATTTGTGTACATATAACGTGTGTGAGAATAGTTCACAAAAAAAGGTGTACCATTTTTGAATTATGAATCTGAGTAGGTACTTCAAATATTAATAAAGGTATTTAGAAATTATTATTATTATACCTTAAGATAGGAGTCAATGGCTCGATAGAGGCCATCGTCACAGGTTCTGGCTGACTCTGGCAAAGCCTCAGCAAGAACCTGAAACTTCGTCAACGATAAAGATCTGTCCCTGGACACTTCAGTAAGATAGCTGTCCACAAGCTTAGCCACCCTCATCTTCGCGTTTAAATTGCTCCCCCTCTGATTCCCATCGTGATGCATATGCTTATCGGAAAATGAACTTCTGGTCGGACTGCAACTCTCAGTCTGCTCCTGAACAAGAAAATGCTCCAAAAGCCTCTGGACCAGGTCAACGTCGTACAGAGTCTCCGTCTTGTTGTATGAAGGTATGAGAAGGTCCGCAAGCGTGGCCTGCTCGAACTGCATCCCCACCCTTTTCTCCAATTCCGTCACCAACGCCGGAGCCACTTTCAGCATGCTCGCCATTCTCAGCAGCCGGAGAAGAAAGCTGCACGTCACGCTGTCCTTCTGCGGCGGGATGATGCTGATCAGGCTCTCGATGATCATTCTCTGGTCTTTTGCGTGGATCGTCGGCGTGTCGTCTCTGGTTCCGGCCACGACCATGTACAGCCCGCCGCCTTTCCAGCTGCCGCTGCTGTTGCTGCCTTCTTCGATGGATCCGGAGGGGGTGCCCTCTTTGATCAAGCCGGGGAGCCATTTGGATGCGTAGTGAATGATCGATGCGCCGATCAGTTCGTGCCGCATCCCTTTTACTTTGATGGCGGTTACCACTCTCACGAAATGGTCAATCCGGAGGATCGAAACGTCCTCGAACCACCAATCGGGCGGGACTTGATTGGATCTGTTAGGGCTCGATTCCTTCATTTCGTTCCATTTAGGGCTGGAAGTTACTGGAAGCTTCCCCGTGTACTGCCACCTTATCCCTTTCGGATTCGCGCTGGCTTTCCACGCTATGGACTCGCTGCATCTCCGTACGATTTGGAGATTCTCCGCCCACGGCGATAGCTTCTCGCAGCTTTTCAGCACGACTATGGAGTCTCTCCATGAGGATAACACCACGTAGCTGAGAAATGCTTCGGTCTTGAATATCAGGTTGCCTTCCTCCAAATCCTCCGTCATTTCGAGATACTCCGCCGTGCATCGTAAGCCGGAGATGTTGGTCGCCGTTAGATCAACTGCGATTCCATAGCAGAACTTCGCGGCTAGCTCGAAGGATTCCGGTCCACCTGGAAGCTCGTCTAGGGTTATCTTGCTCAAATCTGTATCCCTTGATTCATAAATAAGTCTGTTCATCTTTCCGCTCCTGGAAAGCAGAGGATACTTCACAACAGCAAGATAGAAATAGCCATGAGTAAGTTTAACAGCACTCAAATTCTCTGGGTGAAATATATAATGCATATAATTTCTAAATGTATTAGATATTCCTTATATAATTTCCTGATGTGAAATGCTTAATAATCTTCAAATTTCAAACTTTCTTAAGAGAGTCCAACTTTTATATAATGGGTAATATCCTGATGTGCAATGCTATCTTCAAGTTTCAAACTTTCTTGAGAGAGTACTTTTAGACATGATACATCTTCAATTCTAAAAAACAGGAGAAATTATATGATGAGTTATAGTGTAATAATGTAAAAACCTTTCATTTGAACTAAAGGAAGGTTAAAAGGAGAATGAAGTAGTACAAGATGGAGATACACCTTGTGTAAATGGAAACTAGCATCTCCAATTTGAACTAAAAGGTCACTTGGGACATCAGTTGCAACATACCTGTATTAGCAAGAGTTAACCAGATATTGCATGAAGAAATGCCCCTGTTTTTGTTTTGTGTTTTCTTCTATTATCAATATAAATGATGGGAAGTGATGAAGAGTTAATTTACTGGGAATACATACCAAGATTGCCCTCTTTGCTCAAAACCATCAGTCTTGACACCGGGTCTGGTGGTGGTGAGAACTCCATTGGCGGCGGCGGCGGCATAGTCTTGCCCACTGACAGACTCGGTCTCTGATTCCCACATTGTGAAAACTCTTAAAAGTATAAGAATCTTCTTTTTCTTCTTCTTTATATTTTAGTACCAAAAAATAAAATGCTTTCTCAAGAAGTGGGAATAGTTCTTTCTGGAGATGAGAGTACAAATTTCAGATAAGTAGAGATGGGGGGAAGCGAGAGCAAAGATGCGTTAAAAAAGGCAGAACGTCACATGGGGGCTGCTTGGAGTTTTCTCTTAACTCTGTCGGCTTATCCCTGATTTATATGTATTTGATAGTTACAGGCTGTGCGGCGTTATGGGCAAACCAAACACTCCTTGGATCAATTCACTGATTATACCCTGAAGTTCCTTCCCTTTTCCTAACTCATCCCCATTGCTCTATTTTTATCTTTATTTTTTAAAAAGTAGGATGATTGGATGAAAACTCTGTGAAATCTGAAAACATTCTGGAGTTTAGTTAGGTAGCATTGCTTGCTGCATGTGGATTGTGGACATGACATGTTAAAGATTCTCTGGTGGAATATGGACCACGATTTGTTATGTTGATGAAAAAGAAATTCCCCTCAACACTTGATCAACCTACAGATAAGTTTTTGCTGTACATTAAATTTAAAACGTTATTATTTTTAAAGCTTGTTTAAAGTAAGAACATTGTGGAACCAGAAGAGTCGGGATGGTGGTTGTCAGTAGATTCAGCTTGCTTCTTTTAGTGTTTGGCGAGTGGCATCACTTCCCAAATAAACGTTTATCTTTATCACTACGTATTTGATACCCATCCGTCCTGCTAACATTGTCTCATTTTACTTTTTCGGGAAGTCCCACTAAGATTGTCTCATACCAAATTTGGTAAAGATTGTGTAGCTCTAAAATATTTTTACTTTATTCTTACTTTTATCAATTTAATATCAAACATACAAAATCACTTTTCTTAATAATCGTGTCACCTTCTCTCGTCCCAATCTTAGTGGGATGGAGGTAGTACTATCTAAAGAAATTGAATAATTTTGATTCGATTCATGATTTGAATTGAAAAATGTAGATCCATTTTATTCAATAAGGAGAATACAAATAAGAATACAAATCGGTTTTTGATTCAAATTGTTTTTGAATAATACGAATACAAATACTATGATATTCGATTCGAACAATATTCGAATATATAGGAATATTATATATATAGGAATATTATATATATATATATATATATATGTGTGTGTGTGTGTGTGTGTGTGTGATACGTAATATGTATGTCTGCGTGTGTAGAGAAGAGTTCAAATAAAAAGAGGTGTTGTCGTGCAAAGTGCGAACGATTGCACTTTACCTCACCGTGTTGCAATATTGCATGTTTCTGTTGCACTTTTTCAGGCAAAAAACTTCAATTTATTTATGAAATTGGTACCTCATTTTTTATCAGATTTAGTGCATTTTTGGCTCATTTTGAGCCATTAGATCTGAAAATGAATGCACGACATAAATTTTCACTTTGAATGAGAAGTGCTCTTTGTATTGAATCATCCCCTATATATGTGTGTTCATAGAATATATACTTATCCTTGTATATAAATATAATTCAATGTAAAAATATTAATAACTTACTACGTAATATTTATGTACAACAACTACTCCCTCCGTCCCGCAATGAACTTCCCACTTTCTTTTTTTGGATGTCCCAGAAACAAGTTCTCATTTCTTTAAATGGTAAGTTAATCTACATCAAAACAGTGTCAAACAGTGCAAAACAGTGCAAAACAGTGTCGAAACAGTGCAAAACAGTGTCGAAACAGTGTCAAAACAGTAAAATTTACCCTATGGTAAGTTTATTTCCTTAATATGTGTGTAGGTCAAACTGTGAAGTTCATTGTGAGGCGAAGAGAGTATTAGTTATTTTGCATATTTTAATTTAAATGTTTATACTTTGTCATAATACTTAAGTACAAAAACTAGTAGTTATTTTGCATATTTTAATTTAAACGTTTATACTTTGTCAAGTGAAAATAGCTTACTTTAGGGTTATGACTCTCCGTTCATTTATTTATATTATTGTTAATCTTCAAGAAGTGCCTTGTAGAAATATTTTGTTTGGTTGAAATGTGTACCATAAAAACGAGGTAAAAGGGACAAACTATACACTATAATTTCAATTATCTTCACAATTTAACTTTATTGTTTTTTGAATTCGAACATTCGACTAAGATTCATATATTTGAAAAGGGCTCGAAAAAGTTGAGTCATTACCCCTTCCAAAAAAATGTTTATAAAAAAATTAAGAATTTATCGATCCAGGATTTGAAAAATTATAAATTATCAATTCGAGATCTGAAACGAAATGTATCGGTATAAAGTCGAAATGATTAAAAAATATCAATCTAGAACCTGGTTTTTCATGAATTTATTAGTATTTTTATTTTATAAATTTAAGAAAAATTCATCAAAAATTAGCAATAGAATTAATAAAGATAAAATAAATCAAAACATATGGAATTTTAGGTTCTAACAGTTATCAATAATTCGAACCATGTACCGACACAATTCATCTATGAGGTCTCGGATTGATAGCTCATTTATCTTTCAGACCCTAAATTGATAATATTCCAAAAAATTTTAATATTTGGTAAAAATAAGGATATATAATAAAATTTTGACTCAATACTCATAATTATTTCAGTTATATTTTTGTCTATTAATAGTTATTTCAGTTATTAGTAATCATAAATATGGAAAAACTTCAAAATGTTTATACTTTAATACTCCGTACGATATAGTGACATTTGTAGTGAAATATATGCAAATGACAGATTAATAATGTACTAGTAAGACACATACTCGTTTTTTCAACAAAAAAAACTTATTTTGAAACTTGCGAAAAAAGAAAACAAAGAAAAAAATGACACTATTTCCTTTTTGCACTGTAGCAGAATTAGCCCACTGTAGGTCCATTATATACTCATCAATATGAAGCTTTTGTATAGGCCACCGTGCTAGATGTTGAGCAGTCATGCACACCACAATTTCTAGGGAGCAATACGTAGTACTTACTCCTCAAAGTTTTGTATTTCAATTAGCCATTGGTTTATTGTGAACTCCTTGTATTTTACTCTATTTTCTCTCAAGATTAAAAATTTGGGTTATACAACCTATATGGTGTGTAGAGGATATCCATTAGGGGATACATTATTCAGTCTTCTCTCGGGTTTACAAGTTTTGATTAAAATGATACTCCCCTCGTTCCATAAAATTCTGCTCAGAATTTAAAAAAGTAAAAATAAAATGAAAATTTATGATTGTTCAGACGCGTGTGGCATGAACCTTACATTCTTGAAGGCAATGTATACCAATAGGCAAATCATGCCCCTTGAGAGAAAGTATGGACTTCATGAACTAGCAATTTTGGTTCTAAATTTTAGAGAACAAGAAGCACATAGTAGGTTCCAAAACCGAAGATTCCGGATCAATTTTTCATTTCTTATATTTATTTTTAAATGTTATGATTTAATAATTTAGTGATATTTTGTAATATTACATTGTACTCGCTCTATGGCTCTATTCCATATAAATATTGAAATTTTCCTTTGACGTTTCATTTAAAAAATTCATGCCCCATTTAAATCTAGATTATTGCTTATGCAACCGTGCTATTTGTACACGTTGGGTTACACGCCGATTTACACATCCAAGTGCAATTGTCTGTGCCCAGATAATTGATTTTAATTTTAGTAAAGAGAAGTGTTTGTTATCACCCAAAATGAATTATGTGTGCATAGACAATTACATTTGGGCATGTAAATCGACATGTAAATTGACACGTAAATCTAAACTTGCATTTGGGTCTGTTTGCAATAGCTTAAAAAAAGCTCTTCTCAGTTTTTGGCTTAAAAAGCTAAAATTGGCGTTTTCAAGTGACAACTTCTACTTTAAAAAACGTTTCTCAGCTTTTGGGTGAAAAGTGTTTTTTACCTTTTCTATTACACAAAAAACACTTACTTTATCAAACACTACAAATTTTTACTTTTCAAAACTACTTTTTTCTCAAACAATATCAACTTTTACTACTAATTACTTTTTCCAAAATCACTTCAAAAAGTATTTTTTAAGTAAAAACATTTACAAACACTCCCTAAAAAGGAGACAACATTTCCACTTTATCTTTCTTTGACACCATGTATTTGAAAAGTTTGATGGGATATATTATGAGACGAATGATTGGTCTGGTGATTAAGTTTTGTACCTTTCATACATGTGCTTTACAACTGTTCATGTTTGGCAAATTCAAGATAGGGTATGCAATTATGCATATATGCCTGGATAATAAAAAAGATGATATTGTAGAATGGAAATCATATAACCAAACATTTCAGATTTTAGTACAAACAGGGCGGAGTCAGGGCACTGGATCAGATTGGACCGGTACAAAGAATATTATTGAAAAAAAATTTACATGAAATTTTTTACACTAAAAATATTGTCTTTTTTAAATTTCGAGTGGGCCAGCTGTGCATCCCTAGCTCCGCCCCTGCGTACAAATTGATAGGTTTCAATTTGCGTAGCACAAGATTTGCAATCCCCAAAGTGCGACACATCACATAGTAAAGAGACAAATGCATGCATGTCAAATTTTTAAGAGCAAATTCAAACTATTCAAAGCATTACATCTGAAAAATACACCTAATCACAAACAGTATTTTTTAGATGACACTTATAACACTTTTAAAATAGTACCTGCAAAATTTTTGCACAAACTCTGAAGTATTTTAAAATACAGGTAATCACATACAAGTATATTACCTGTATACCAAAAGTGATTATTTATAATATATAATTAAATGTGGTGATTTCATCATTCATGCCTGTTAATCTGTGCATATAGACACGCACAAACATAACACTTTGTATTACTTATCATATGCATGTACAAATATTGGTGAAAATATCATTTCTATGCATGTATTCAACTAGTCCCGTCTAGGCGAGCATTTAGTGTTGGGCATGGCCCTGAGTAGCGGCATTTAAAACATTGGTGACTATGATTATGATTAAAATTACAAAGTAGAGACAATAAGTGCAGGGGCGGAGCTGGAATTTAGTCATATAAGGGTGCCAAGAAGGAACACAAACAATAAAGAGAAAATTATCTAAATAGGTTTAAAATAAAAATAAAATTCATAAACAGGATTATCATTGTTTTATTCTCAAAATAGGACTTAATTATTCACTCTTA